ATATTGATTAGGAATCAATGAATTATTCCTGTTGACAGGCATTATGTTGTGAAGAATGAGCTCAAATATCTTCTATGTGGCACACAGTGGAGAAACAGGGTGATAAATAGAAACATCATTTTTGTAGGCCGACCTAAATGCTGAAAAAAAAACACGCAGTTTTACCCATGCTGGGAAATGTTGAAGCGTTGAGACCGTTGTTTAATAGTGTAGTGAGTACTGGGGCAAATATACTACCGTAAGTCTTTAGTATGGGGAAGGGATGTCATCTGGGCCACATGATAAGGACAGTTTGGAGCACCTATTGCATGAGCAGATGAACTTTTTATCCAGCGATATACCACTATATATGATCACTGCCATGGGCTGTTGTACTATCTGAGCCTTAGAGTTTGAGGCCTTATAGACGAATGAAAAATGCGGGGTGAGGCAATCAGTGACGTCATGCACTTCGACACTATTCCGGGTCCAGTAGCCTGAAGAGCTCCCCACTTTTGCTAGGCTGTTTGCATACATGCTTCCGAAACTCAGCAGGCCTTCCGGAAATAATAATAATAATAATAATAATAATAATAATAATAATAATAATAATAATAATAATAATAATAATAATAATAATGTCATTATTATTATTATTATTATTATATTATTATTATTATTATTATTATATTATTATTACTATTATTATTATTCAAAGATTTATTTAACGTGCCCTGGAAGAACCATAAGGTCTCTGTTTCAGGCACGCACAAAAATAAATAAAGTAAACTATACACTACAGACAATTCTCATATAAAGAAATCACATACAGAACGTGAGGATGCATAATCAAAACACTTATCGAAGGTAGCTTTCCCATGGTAAGCCAGCATGGCTATTTATATTCGCTGTACCGTGAACAAAAGAAAAAAGATTTTCCCTTAGGAACACCTTCAGCGTACGGTGTTTAAGCGAATACGTGTGCTTGCCTCCCCCCCCCCCCTCTCTCTCTTTTGAGAAAAGCTCTCATTCGTTCTGACTGAAGCACGAAGCATTCCTCGTACCCTCAGTATTCAGTATTATTCAATGACATTGTTGCAAGTAGGCTCGAGGAAGAGGGATGAGATCAAAGCATAGCTCTTTCAATAATAGTCTTCCCTGTAACAAACAGCAGAAATGCTGTCCCATACCTCGAAGGGTAATTCTGGAAAAAGTGAAATAAACTCAGTAATCTAGCATGTTACTGGCTCCACAGTCGAGCATGCGTTCGAAGCATGTCTATTTTCGCGGTTGACTCAGTTCATCTCCTCGAGCTAGTTTCCCTTTTTTTCCTGTTTTCCAATAGTCTCCACGTGCTCTACAGACGAACTTAATGTGAACGCAGTAGAAATGTATTCAGTTGCTTAACCATTATATATCTTCGGTTTGAATGCGGATCATAGTGACGGCAATAATTTGTAGCATGGAACTGGGCGCCGTTCCAGAGCCGAAATCTACGAGAAAATATAAATGAGAACCACGCAGTGGATCTCACCATTTCTCAGCGAATCCTTATAGCTACATCGTTTTGGGAAATCTGCCCACAACTTGCCCCATTCATGTGTAAATAAAACAAAACACACAAGCGCGCACGGTATATATGCTCTGTAAACAGACCAGTAACAGACCGACGTAACGGAGCAGTCAAAGGAGCTTTTTGGGACCGCGACTCAAAATCCGGGTCATGTGTCTCAAACCACGAAGCAAGCGTGCAGCCGACTGACCGCCGTGCTTAAGTTGACAAACGAGCAACGGCGCCTTGCTGCTTCAACCGAAAGTTAGAGAGAACGAAAGTAAAGACGCAAAAAATAAGGATGGTGCTTCGCGTCACGCCAAGCACAGCATTCTGAGGAAAGAAATTGGAGAACTCTTTCTTGAAACAGTAGAATTTGTCTTTCAGACGAACAGATAACTCCCTTTGCGGCTCGAGACGTAAGAAAAGGAAAACGTGTTTGAGGGGTAAGAAAACGGGCTTACGATGGTGACCTTGAAATGCTGTAAATAGGCTCTTGAATATCTAAAATCTAAGGGATAATATATGAATATATGTAACCGAGGCCTTCCACTCAGATAAAATCAATACACCATTTCAATTTGACATTGATTGTCGGGATATTTCCGTCCTTCCCGGTATCAGTGTTCCCATATCTTCGATCGCGTTTCTGAGCTCTAAGTAACTTAGTAGGTCAAGATTTAACCAAGCATCTGTGTTCTGCCAAGCAACGTTCAAAATCCAACTCGGGGCCAACTTTGGAGCCTCAGAAAAGTGGTATGTAGTCGTTAGTGTGCAACAAAATACGTTATAGTGACTTACTGTGCGAGAAAATACGAAAGATAACCAAAAAACACAGACGAACGTTTTTGCCTTCCCTTTAAAAAATACATTCTCGCACTCTCTCAACTGTAGAAACTCTGCTAGAGTGTTACTTCTAAAAGCACTGCCTTAAGAAATAATAACAACGCAAGTAAAGCTTTCAAATTAACGTCACTTACAGGTCTAACTAATTCATTGTTTCTCTTACGCGAAGTCTTGTAGCAAACGAAATGCAAGAGGCATAAGCGAGCAAAGGGAAAGTCGACAGTCAGTAAGATATCACTGCCAATATACGTCTGTGACGCTTTGTACTTTCACCTATCAATGTCTCGTGTGCGCAGTAACAATAGAAAAACAAAAACAAAACATAATAAATGTGCCTGTCCGACAGGCACATATGATTTCTGCGGTCATACAGGGTGTCGCAAGGTCAGACCACAATGCATTCTTCCCGCTTATACTTCGAATCTTCATCGCCATAAAAACCCGTGTGTTGGGGCCATTTTCCCTTCGCAGTATACGAAAGGAGCGCCGGCGCTTAAATTCCCATCAGGCGAGTCCTTTCCGTCTTCCTCTTTTCCCCGTCGCACCATCTTCCCTAAACTGCAAGTCCCGTGGCAACGGCCTCAATTCCCGATACTATTCTGGCGCTTCCCCTGCGGACGCATGCGCACGACCATTCTCTCTCTCTCTTTTTTTTTCTGCCTTTCTATACCGTTATACGTCTACGTGCCTACAGTATTCAAAACTACAAAGTGCTTTTATTGGTTTGCTGCTTTTTTTTCATTCTTTTTATTTTAACGTCCTCACGTAGCAAAGGCAGATGACTATAGAATGGAGAGCCATCACGCTGCCTCTATGGGACCTGGCTGGCTATCGACAACGGGTCCGTGCCCGCGCATTTATAAAAGCCTTCGTGCTCTCCAGGCCTGAATACACTCTGGAAGCACCGTGAAGGGGTGTCGGGTGCGGCAAGATAAACCGAGAACAGATCATCACATTATGCATTTAAATCGCGCTTGAACGCGTTCACAAAAGAAAGAGAAGATAGAAGTACACACCAACCTTGCACGAGGTTCCCAAGGGAGGATCGATTGACAGCTGCGAGATCAGAAGCAATAGGAAGCAGACAGGTGAGGATGACTTATGGACGGCAGGGACATCCAGGGCTGCACACCAGACTTGAGGCGCCTTTACGCTCTAGAGTTTTCATGAAAGCGCGATGGAAGAACTGCATACCACCACCGACAAAGCTTGACCGCTGATGCCTTCGCGAACAACCCTTATGTCACTAAATTCAGGCACTGTTACTGAAAAATGAAAAATATGTTGCAGAAACGTTGTCTGGTGGTGATACAAATTATGGCAAAAGCCCAACCTCAGCTAGCAGTTCATGCTAATGCATAGTCGTAAACGGCGACGCGTAAGTTTAATCTGGTGTGGTTATCAGAAGGAAACAGAAATGAATGGATGAGTCCTTTTTCTTTTGTAATATACAATATCTCAGTGGGTTGCTTCATTTGAGTATCCGTGAAAAATAGCCGGACCTAAAACAGCACACTGACACATGCATTAAAGAATAATTTGACATGCAATCACAGGGCGCAGCTAAATAAGGGTATACAGTTCACTTATTGCTGGTGTTGTTGATAGCAGGTGTCGGTCATTCCAATGGCACTAGCTGCTGCCTTCCGCGAAATAACTAATCGCAAAACAAACATTCAGCAGTCTACAAAGTGTAGGTGACTGTCACATTTCACATTCGCTCAATTCAGCCCACCAGCAATGCACGTCGTTTAAGATATTAAATGAACTGTGTTAGAAGAACTGTATTTTTAAAGAGTCTTTGCTGAAACACAATTTGTTATATGAAAAGTACGAGTGTTTTTTAATGTATTTTGTACTTGATATAGGGGGCAACAAAGGAGTGTAATGAGAAAAAGAAAGAAGCGTAAAAGAATAAAGTCTGATGGAAGGGCAGCGTTACTTTTTGTTTAGTTTTTACATCCTGCTTTTCATGTTTTTTTTTTACACAATTGCTGAGATTTTGCAATGATGCTGGTATTTGTAAGTACACTTAGCCACATTGCGAATGCATTTCAATTCGGTGACGAAGCGCTACTTCTGAAAAGGAAATTCATACTTGAATTATTTTGTGGCACCCCATATTTTTTACCTCCATATATACTTTAATTGCGTCGGTGCACATTAGTTCAAATAAACTTGTTTTGCACCTTTAATCACGTACTATATACCTGCTCCAGAAACATTCAATAAAAGGTATTTCTCTCCCACACACAATAGGAGGTCTGAAACAATATGACTGCTAAACGAGCCTTATACCTTCAAACTCCCGAACGGGACGCAGCCTGTTACCAACAACTTCGGTAAGAGGAAAGGAGGGAAGGCGGTACCATCGGTCAGGGAAGAAAAGCATCGATATCTGAGTTAGAGGGGGAGCTGCATAGATGGAGAGGAGGTCCAACTGTTCCCAACGGCGTTCCCCAGGACTCCGCACAAAGGTCCCTAGGCACATTCCCAGTAAGGATTCAGCGAAGCCGAGTCGGCTGGCCCCTCCCCTCGCTAGGGACACGCACGCGGCGCGGCTTTCGCTCTCAACCGGCCTTCCTTCTCCGGGGGCCGCGCGAGTCGATGGGGACGGGTGCTGCATGTCGCTACCAGAGCGGCAGTCCGGAGCGAAGAATCACCTCGGCGCCGTCGGGCGACCCGAACAGCGCTCCACGTTACAATCGCGTGTGCGCCGCCACTCCGCTCTTCTTTCCGACCCTGAGCCCCCCCACCCGGCTACGGTGGCGGCGGCCTCTCTGCCGCTGATCGCATCGCCGTTGTCGGGACAGCGCAGCGTCGTCGTCCAAGCTTCGGTAGCGCTGGCGGTGGTGGCGTCGCTCGCTCTTCCCCGGACTACACCACAACGCGCTCTCCGCTCGCTGTTGTCTGCTCCCGCTGCTCTTCTCTCTCGTCCGAGTCGTGGATGCCGGGCGTCTTTGCTCCATTCTCGCATCGTTCCGCAGCCTACTTCCCGGAAGACCAACCATGTGCGTGCGCCTGCGTGTGCTCTTGTGTGTTGTGACATGCGGCAATAATGGATAACGCGCCCTGAGCCAGCTAGAGCATCGCCAGCTCCCGAAAGGAAGCATGAAGACGCTAACGGGACGCGGCGCGACAGCGACCACTTGCTGGGCCGGATCACCGGCGTGGTATCTTCTTTTCTGCCAGGCTGCAATCCTCTTTTACGTGGGTGAGTGTAAAAGCTATTTAACGTGCTTTGCGATTAGTTGCAGATGGGCTCGGATCCACGCCCTTTTCTGACCTCGCTTGCGCGGTTCCCTCTGCGTCTGGAGAATGTATCCGCGTTGAAGACACTGTCACCGAGGCAAGTTATTAGGGGCTCTCTCGGGTGTTGTGAGCAGAAGACAGCGGGGAGTCTGGTTTTTTTCGAGCGATATGTGCGTGATCTCTCTTTCCAGACACTGCGCTCCTCTTTGACAGTTCTGGAAGACTGTGGTAGAAAGCAGCAACTGTTACCTTCGCTTGCATGACATGACCAAGTTCTTGAGAATCTTTGTGCTTTGCGTTTCAATTCAATATTGTCACGATGCGTGCCGAATACATTTACGCCTAATAAGCGGTGAATAGGAATGTTCTACCATAAGAAATGCTTTGTTGCCCATATCAAATATTGCTACTAGAACAGCGCCTCTGAAATAGCATTAAAGTACTACATTGCCTTGAACTCGCAAAACTAGTTGATGATGTGGCAAAATCAAATGCTACGGCACTAAAGCTCGTTCATGTTTAGCCATAAAGAATCCTTCAGCAGGAAGTGGTAACGAAACAAGGGTATCGAAAGGTGGACTTGCTTTTGGCAGGAAATCAACTTTTTCTGTTTGCAAGCGTTAAGGCAGCAGATCTCTTGCTGCCTTGACGAAGGCAAGTCCCCTTGTGGGAACGATAGCTTCAGCGGCATTGCCGACAATATGTCGTGATTTCTACTTCCATCTTCTCCTGTACTTCTTTCTTGCTTTGATCTCTCTGTCTGACTTATTGTGAAGTTTCACACAACACATACGGCTCAGAATGAAATAAGGAGCGACTGCCTACGACCTGTGATAGTACAGCACGCGTGATCACTTATAGAGCTACAGTTCTCTCCTCTGATAGTAGTACAACTCGCCTGTACAGTTTCACCATGTGCACCTATTAAATGAATCCCGCGTTCACGCTCGAGTGACAAGCAGTTGCCTTCACATGACGTACATTAACGACCTATTGCTTCAGACCAGTCGCGTAGCCAGAAGATGACAGGAGGGAGAGATTCAAATTTTTTTGAATTTTTCAATTTTGTATACAGGCACGAGCATACGTAAGGTATGCTTGATCCCTCTTCCTATCTTTTTCAAAAAAATAAAAAAATTGACACATCCCACGTACCTTCGGAACCGATATTATGCGAAGAATGTCGATGTTAATTTTTTATTGAGCCAGACAGTATGAAGAAGGATTAAGTATATGAACGAATTCACGCACACATAAGTTAAACAGCCGCATATGATTTATATTAGCAATTGTTTACAGCTGCGTAACGATGCCATTAGGAACATAAATATTAGCAACACCAAAAGCGGTAAGCTGAAATGATGCGTTGGTGTTTGCGCTGGTGCGCACCAGGTTCGTAGCCGTCAACACTTCTACACAAATCAATTTTATTGGATGGTGCCGAACTACAATTCACGTTAACCAGACATGATGGTTGTATATGATAGGAGTACATCTGTAGTATTGATAAAATTCAATAGCCATCCCTGCATCCCCAACTGACCTTACATGAACATTACGGTCCATTTAAAAAGTGTATCCGAGTCCTGGCTTAGCTCTGTTTTAGAATACTTCATGGTCATGCAGAATGGGACCCTGGCATTTCTTGTTTGCATTATTCCGGTCAACGCTGCATATCGCAGCTTTTTCTTAACGATCGAGCATTATAGCTACGAATGTGTGCTAGCCGTTACTGAATAGATATAAGACGTCTAACACCTGTGGCAGAAGCCCACATACGAGTGCCGCATACCCGGCCCTGGATAAGTGCCACTCTTTTTGGGAAACTGTTTGATGACGTACGCGACGAGAATGGGACGTTATTCATGTCATGACTAGCAAGACTTGTTCATCGAACCATCTACCCATCCGTGCTAATCTTGATGGACCCCAAGTCAAGAGGGTGAACATAAGACAGACAGACAGACAGACAGACAGACAGACAGACAGACAGATAGATAGATAGATAGATAGATAGATAGATAGATAGATAGATAGATAGATAGATAGATAGATAGATAGATAGATAGATAGATAGATAGATAGATAGATAGATAGATAGATAGATAGATAGATAGATAGATAGATACCCATAGTGCTCGAGACACGACGCGTTGTACTTAGCCATTAAAGAAACAATCTCTTGCAAGTTCAGGTATTTATTCAGGTGTAGAGTTCCCAGTGCTGTGACTGACAATTTTCACACAATGGTAATACTTCCAGCTTTAAAATGACACAGCTACTATGAATATTGGTTGTTTCAATGAGAAATAAAATGAAAAATCAGCGATCACTCATACAGCGTAACCACTGTCAACCAGCCAGAATGTCACAGTTCTTGCTGTTCACAATCTTCGTTAAAAAACAATAAAGGCGAAGAGCAATTTACCTCAGAGGAGAGAGAGAGAGGGAAATAAATCTTTTGGAACGTCTAAAATATCAATATTACCCACAGCATCCCTCAGATAATCGAGAAATCAAGGTAAATGTTCGTATCTATATGCGGCAAGAGTTGGACTTTTTTTTTAATAATCCCAACGACGTCATGCAAGGAGCTGTAACGGTAAGTTTGACAAAGTGCCCCGTGAATGTGGTCCTGTATGATGCACGCATCATTTACGCCTCTTGAGCTGCACTAAAAAAAACCGATGTGGCTTTCCGGCATATTCCGTAAAAGGAAACCCTAGACTCGAAGTGCCTAGTGCCGTGGCTCTGTGCCAGTGTGTAAAACCGCCAAAAAGATATTCATTATTATTCAGTGCACTTTCGTACGGAGGATTAAGAGGTCAACCGCAACTTAGCCAGTGCTTGCATTGTGCCTCTTTTAGCAGTGTTCTTCTGCTTGTCGACAGCTGAGCAGTAAATGCGGGAAACGTCGGCCAAGCAACTGCTATAGGTCAGAGGGCCCGTCGAGGCAGCTGATTTGAAGTGCACTAACGCTGTGCGGGCCACTCAAACGTGATTTTACTTGCAAAAATAAGCAGTGCCTTGGCACGAAAGCAACCCTACGATATTTCTCGACTACTACTTCACCAATCACCCGTGACTTAATATATGTCTTTAGTGTCCCTTTAACGAGGCATTCTGAAACCAAGTCAACGGTTACAGCATAAGCAAGGAAAACGGGACAGTCGCCTACAACCAGCATGCCAGGCAGCATAACAATGGACGTTTCTAGTGAATGCCTGTCAATGACAGAGCCAACGTCACCGTATGACAATGCTGAACCCTGCATCACGTCGGCATTCATGCTTTCGGTCTGCCACTGAAGGGGACGCCATAAGACTGCAAACGAAGCATCTGCTACTGAGAAGTTGAAACTTTGTCACTTGATGGGAAAGTTGTGGACTATTGTGACGTGGCCTCAAGGGTCGCCGGAATTCCGTGTATACAAAAGCATGTTGTAGACGACTAGCATCTGAAATCGACAGACGCTGCAACCTTACAATAGGGACGGCGTACGGGAAATATAACTGCAAAGCACGTTTGTGCCAGAGAACACGGGTGATAGTTTGTGTCTGGGTTCGTAAAATCATTAATTTTTCACAATTGGTTCCACGTAAAAAAACATTAATCATTTGTGATAATGTTAAAGACAGTATTCCTGAATTGTACCCAATGTTATCAATAAAGTTGGCTTCAGAAAGTGAGCTTGGTTTAGCAAGCTAATCATGACCATTTATGAAGAATCATTACTCGAGTGAGCACACTTGGTGTGCTCGTCGGTGTTATGTCGTGTAACCGCGCTCTCTCCATCAGTATTATTTATTTTCGTCTTCTAGTTATCCTCAATGACTTACTCTGCGCCTTATATTTCTACTTCTCCACCCGTAACGCACGTTAACAAACTGAATATTCATCGGCTTATTTCTTCATGTCGACTCCTAAGTATTATCAAACATGTTAAGAAAAATTCCACACTTATCTGGGTAATACAAAGCTTCGCAGGTGTCACTAGGTTCTTACAGGACAATTAAAATGGCCCTGTATGAAGGTTGAATTACACAAGTACGACGGTTTAAGTATCATGGTATACCTAAATATGAACAAAGGCAAAGTGTGGTAGCTATTGGATGTTCCTGTACCGACATGTGGAATAGTAGTGTGATACCTGGGGCACCAGAATCGCTAAATGCGCAAGTCTGGTTTGCCTCCTTTGTAAGTAGATTGAGAAATAGTTATTGTATAGTTACTCTTCTAATTGACGTTGCGGGCACAGGAATAACGTTCTCTAAAAAACTTATCCGAGACTTTTAAACGTTTCGGATAAATGTAGCTGCGATTAACGCTCGACTCCTCAAGACCTGATAATTTCATTGAACTGTTATTTATTTTGTCTTTCTTTTAAAGGTGAAGCACTTTATGGCGTGGCTTGTCCGTCCCCCATTGTCGTTGTGCGTAACCGCCGGTGGCACATACCCGAGAGAGTGGGTATGTGCCACAGGGAAAAGAGAGAGACGATCGCGCGACTACGATCGCGATGAAAAGATGCGAAATGGAGGTACTTGGAGTGTTCACAAGATGGACGGACGCACGTACGGACAGACAGACAAGCAGACGGATGGATGAACAGACGCGCAGACGGATGGATGCGCGGATGGATAGACAGATGCACAGCCGGACGCACGGACCGACACATGGGCGGACGGAGGGATGCATGGATGAACACAGGGACGGACGCACGGATGGACGCATGGCCGGGCGGATGGATGCACAGACGGGTACGCGGATGGACACATGGACAGATAGACGGACGCATGGACGAATGGAAGCGCAGACGTACTGATGGACGCTTCGCCTCACTCATCATTCACTCCGTGGGTATGCTGTGCTTCTCTTTTTCTTTCCGTCAGATGGCGCGCGCAGGAAAAAGTTCGCACATATCTCTGCCACATAACAGCAAAATCGGCCACACTTTTCGAG